TTTCAGCCGCGCAAAGACGTCAATATAACGGCTTGTAAACAATGTCACATAACGTCACATTTACCTCAGAAAAACATTCGGTGACCATAAACTCATTAATCATATAGAAAAATAAACTGTAGAGAGGGGCATTTTGCTAAATATATGCACCATATAGTATACTCATTATAATTTTTACTGTTCTTCAATGTTTAATTAATGTTTGAATAAATCCATCAAGTTTTTATGACAGCCACCATTTAAATGTTTATATATATAAAAAAAAAACGAACTGAAGTAGAAATATTATTATGTAATTGTAACTTTGTTATTTTAAAAACTTCATTAAGTGTAATTTTAGCAGTTGTACTACAAATCAGTCAATTTTAACCTTCAATATTATAGTAATGTAGTACCAACTGACTCTCATATATATTTTACAGCATTAGTTGAGAGATTTTGTTTTTCCTTGAGAAAATTTGGCGTGTACTGTACCTGATATATATCTAAAATAATCGATATTGAATCGAATCGGTAATCGAATTGAATCGCAAGCTTGTGAATGAGAATCGAATTGTGAAATTTGTGTCAAAACCCAGCCCTAATATTATTACATTTGAAATTTCAGCAGCCATTACTCCAGTCTTTAGTGGTACATGATCTTTCAGTATAATCATTCTAATATGCTGATGTGGTGCTCAAGAAACATTTCTTATTATTTTTTATTCATGTTGAAAACAGTTGTGCTTCTTAATATTTTTTTGGAAACCATTATATATTATATATTTTTCATCATTCTTTGGTTAATAGAAAGTTCTAATTAAATTTAAATATTTTGTAAGATGTATTTACTCTCACTTTTGATCTATTTAATTCATCCTTGCTGAGCAAAAGTACTTATTTCTTTAAAAATAATAATAATAAAAAAATACTGAATGACCCCAAACTAGAAAAGCTAGAAAAGTTCTTTGTGAGTTTTTAAAAAAGTATCCTGTAGAATTGAAAGAGAATTCACTTTAGTGTGACCTAAAATGTTTCACTTCGAAATAAACAACTAAAGTGAGTCAGTGAATGTGTATTGAATGAATGAATTTACTCTGACCTTACTGGGCGCTGTATGAGCTCACTGACACACATTGGGTGACAAACATAATATTGACAATCTATTGTCTGGATCAGAGTCCTGCAGGCAATCACAGCAGCCAGCAGTGCAGAAAGTGACAGCAAAGATGTGAGCATCAGCCCAGTGATAGAGCCCGAGGCACAGCAGACAGTAGAGCTCAGTGTGTGAGACCGAGTCCTTTCTACTCCAGATGGTCTGCGTGTGTAAGAGGGCAGAGGGAGGAATCACAGAGATGGTGTTTGATGGATAGATGAGGGCAAACTGACTGTATTGACCATAATGCTCATCTTTGCAACCCAGTGTGGGACTCTTGTCTGAGAAGATTTTTCTTCAGTTACCCCTTGGTTATATTTTAAATTCATTCAAACCCCCCATATTAGTGTTTGAAAATGCAGGTTCAGGGTGTCACTCATCTCTATAATGCTACTAGGAAACTCATTTCCTCTTTTGTTCTACATGGTTTTAAGCCTAAACACATACAGTCAGACATTACAAGTCAAAGGAAATGGCACCTCCATGTTGTCATTATAATGATAATACGACAGTACAACTGAATTAACGCACTACAGGCCTCTGCTCAGAGAGGATGAGCATATTAATGTAAATGGATGAATCTCAGAAAGACATGTCTAAGTAAATTTGAACCAAAAATGAAAAGAAAGGAAAGATTTTTGATTTGTGATGTTATTTCATGACAATTCAGGACATTTCCCCTCCAATTTTTAATGCATCCAAATGCATATGTTTTTCCTGTAATTAAAAAAAAAAACATTTTAATAGTTTTAGTTAACAATAACAACTCTGAAAACAACAATGATTCTCAGTACTGTAATAGTTCATTAATATTTTTAGTGAATTACAGAAAACACTTATTAATTGTATTCAGAATAAGCTATTTCAGCAAATACTAATATGATGTATACATACCATTCATATTTCACATTATAGTGTTTCTAAAATAGGCTGCATTTTCTTTCAGCAAT